GAACCATCGATGGCATTCATCTAGAAGAGTTAATTTAAAATACACACATTAACACGTAATTTTATCTTTTGTTAAAAACGTATATTTACTCATTTTATTCCTGTTTGATTAGAGCATAGAATTTATGTATCTCTACCTAAAATTCGTTAATAGCTTTGGCCCTTTCAAAAACACTCAGTGTCCTCATTTTAGCTTTAGCTTCCTTGGTTTGGATGCAGCCTGTGATTTTTTTTGTGACAGTAAGCCAGTAGTTATTATGCATGGGGAACCCTATTAGAAATGCAATATTTTGTACTAATTGCTAACAGAAAGATCTGTAATCCTGGCTGCATGATTTGCCCCTTACATGTGCCCAGCTATAACAATCTGAATTCAGTATTGCGTTTGTTAATATTAGACACAAATTTATCCTGACACTTTTATAGGCAAAGCCTCAGAAACATTTAGTCATGTAAAATATAATCATGGTCTTGAAATATTTGCTTTTGCTCCTGTGCTTTTCAGGCAGGATTTTACTTTGTAACCTCATCTGTACTGCTAAATTTGGCGAATGGATTTGGAGAGGTTCTTTGAGGTCCTGATTGTAAGACAGGTGTTAATTTACACTGAGCCGTTACTGCACTTTATCAAAGAACAGTTGTTTACACAATGTGAATATTCCCTGTCTCTACACATTTTTCAGATCTTCCCTATTATAGTGAATTAAATTTGGTTTTAATTTGCATTCCATTTCCAATATTTGTTACCAGACACTTTGGACTTTTTGAGGGCAAATAAAAGTAGCTCCTGGTGTAAGTGAAATATTCTGTGTCAGAATAAAATAGCAAACCATTATGTAAAGGGCACATTTCCCCATGTGTTTACCTTATAACTTCATGAGCTAGACTTGTACAGAAGCTTTGAAAAAATTCCCATGGCTGTCATATTCATAAGTCTTTCTGACCCATTCAGACAGATGTTAGTATATTACTTGGAGCATACTATAAAACTTACCTTTCATTTATGGAAATGTGTTTGTACTTTGTTCTCCAAAAAGCAAATACAGAGACCATAAGACATGGGATAATAATGAACCTTTGGACACAGAGACATAAAATGGAATGTGTGAGCCCTTGACAGAGCAATTAAATACATTTTCATTTCAACAACTGAAGATGAGAAACCAAAACAGATGGGCAGGGGATAGAATAAATGAGAGAAAAATCAGTATTCATCATGCCTCTTGGCATTCTAGTGCACCAATTTACTCTGTAGCACATAACAGTACATCAGATCTGGTTCTGCATTCCAGTCCCAGGTTTATTCTTGTATGAAGTAAAAACTGAGAAAACTATAGGTACTTTCCCTGGAAATTTCTGGAACCATCTAGTAAGGAGTAACTAGCCATGCTATTATCAACAAACTGACTCAATTACTTCTTGGAAATAGGTAGATTACATTCCATAAATAAATTAAAGAATAATTTAGTGTTTGCTATGAAAGGCACACACTGCCCTAGAAAGCATGGTGAAACATCCTGTTATCATTATCAAGTGTCTTTCAAGATCTTAGAGGTTGAAAAAGGAGCAAATTACTTGCTTACATCCTAGGAACATCTGCCAAAAATACACCTTCACTAGGAGTCAAATGGAACTTTTAAAACAATGATCAGCTTGGGCTTAGTGGGAAAGGAACCTTCCTATTCTTCATAATTCCTAAGAAAATTTAAATGGTTACTAATGCTTGTTTTTAACCTACGAATTCCAACTTGAAAGGCTCTGATCTGAATCACATGTGCAAAACTTGAAGAAGTGTATCAGTTATCTATTGTATCAGTTATACATTCCAAAGTTTAGTAGCTTAAAACAACTAGTGCATACATCTTCATGGTTCTGTAGGTTGGCAATTTGGGCTGAGCTCAGTTGAACAGATCTTCCACTGTCGTGCCTAGGGGCTCCCAGTGGCCTCAAGCCGAAGCTGGAGGCTCAATTGCCCTTCCGTCTCTCACGTTGCCTCCCTTCCTCAAGGAGGCTAGCCTGGGATTGTTCTCAAGGCAGCAGAGGTCCAAGACTGTGAAAGCAGAAACTGCAAAATTCAGTATGTTCCTCTGCCACATTCTGTTGGTCAGAGTATGTTGCAAAGCCAACCCAGATTCAAGGGAAAGGGAAATAGACTTCACCTCTTAATGGGAGGTGTGGCAAAGGAGTATTAACAGCAAGTTTTTTTTTTTTTTTTTTTTTTGAAAGGGAGTCTCGCTCTGTCACCCAGGCTGGAGTGCAATGGCATGATCTAGGCTCACTGCAGCCTCTACTTCTTAGTTTCAAGAGATACTCCTGCCTCAGCCTCCTGAGTAGCTGGCACTACAGGCACATGCCAGCATACCTGGCTAATTTTTGTATTTTCAGTAGAAATGGGGTTTCACCATGTTGGCCAGGCTGGTCTCAAACTCCTGACCTCTACCCATCTCAAGCCTCCCATAGTGGGAGTTGATCTGCCCATCAAAAGTGATCTGCCTGTCTCTGAGCCATTTGCCCTGGTTCAGAAACACTGGGGATGTGGCCCAGCCCTCCGGAATTCCCGAAAGTCCTACAGGTGATTCTGAGGCCCACTAAAGCTTGAGGACCAGACTGCGGAACTTTGTGTTTAGACATGGTCAATTTGGCACTTAATTGAGTTCTGTGTTGTGTTTTCTGTAATTGTTTAATCTAGACAGGTCTGTTGAAGCTTTGCATTGAATGGGGCTACCAAGCCAAAATAATCTCTTCTTTTTACTTGGTGTCCATGCAGTGCAAATTCTCTTTCATTCTGGCTGGGAGAAGAGTAAGAGATACAGCCCTAGTTCCAGACTTCTGCTCTTGCCTCCAAATCCTCTTTGTTCACTCAGCTTGTAAAGCATCAGGAGCTTGCAAAGCCCCTGCAGGTGACGCTCTACAGTTGCAGGTGTCACCTGCAAGGAGCTGATTTATTAAAAGCCCTGCCAGGGCGGCTTAATCCCTGTGAAGTGATATTGTAACTCACCTCTAGCCGCTGTCCTATCAAAAAATCACCCTCCGTCCTCCTTCTCTTTGTTTACAAGCACCAGTTAATGGTTTTCTCTCCATTAAGCAGCTCAGGGGACCGCTATTTAGAGAACTAATTGAATTCTTGCCAAGTTTGGGCATGATCCAAAGCTGCTCCAATTCTCAGTATTTTCCATGCTATGTATTTTCCTCTATTCTAACATGTATATAGCATTGATACCTCTATCTGCAGAATGTTAAGAAATTATAACTGTATACATGAGGGCATATTATACATGTGGCAGTTTCTGCTCCTTGGCATGAAGATACACCTCATAACTCTGCAATGCAAAACTAAAAATATGCATGTTTTTTAAATCTGCCAAAAGAATCAATATATGTTAATTTTAGAAATTATACTACTATTTATGAGATTTATTCCATAATGAAGAGACAACAATCCATTTTTCTCTCCCCCAATTCCACCACCAATCCTGGCCCCTACCACCAAATTTGAATAGTACCTCTTTGATGGCCAAAAATATTATAGTTAGTATATTTGTCCATTCTCACATTGCTATAAAGAAATGCCTGAGACTGGATAATTTATAAAGAAAGGAGGTTTAATTGGCTCATGGTTCCATTATGCTTCCAACAGGAAGCATGGCTGGGGTGGCCTCAGGGAAATTTTACTCATGGCAGAAAGCAAAGCCAGAGCAGGCATCTTCACATGGGCAGGAGCAGGAGGAAGTGGGGCCTGGAGGTGGCACATACTTTTAAATAACGAGGTCTCATGAGAACTCTGTCATGAGAACAGCACTAAGGGAATGGTGCTAAGCCATTAGAAACCACTCCAGAGATTCAACACCTCCCACCAGGCCCCATATCCACCGTTAGGGATTACATTTCAACATGAGATTTGGATGAGCACGCAGAGCCAGACCATATCTGGTAGCATATTAACATTCTTAGCTACTTAAAGAATACAGTTTTTCTGGCCCTTAGGAATTATTTATCTTTAAGACTGAAATAGGTTAATCATCAAGGTAGGGATTTGTGAGACTGCATCTAATCATGGGTAGCAAGAGACTGAAGGGATAAAGAGGAAGAGTTGGCAAATAAATAAGTGAATAAATATTATAAGAAAAAACACTAATTACAAAAGGAAAGGTTATTTTTCTTTTGACTTTGATTTTGGTTTTGTTTGTTTTTGAGGTGGAGTCTTGCTCTGTCATTCATGCTGGAGTGCAGTGGCACTATCTCAGCTCACTGCAACCTCTGCCTCCCCAGTTCAAGCGAGTCTCCCGCCTCAGCCTCCTGAGTAGCTGGGACTACAGGCACCCACAACCACGCTGGGCTAATTTTTGTATTTTTAGTAGATACAGGGTTTTACCATGTTGGTCAGGCTGGTCTTGAGCTCCTGACCTCGGGTGATCCACACGCCTCAGCCTCCCAAAGTGCTGGGATTACAGACGTGTGCCATGGTGCCCGGCCTTCATTTGATTTTTTTTTTAATTCTACTCAATAGATATCAAGCTAAAAATGTATGCACTTTTTGAATGTGTACTACATGAAGCATGTGGAGGTCAATCCTGCGATTTTCTCCAGTGTAATCTAATGAGGCACAGCACATTTAGACTCAGGAGCATCTTTTATTCCCTCTGGACAGGTTCCTTTAGATTGCTCGTGTAGGGATTTGGGGAGGGGGAGCATTTTTAATGTTATAGTCTATGCCTTAAAGGAAATCTTCAGTACTTATGCAATACAGTTTTTCTCCCCAAATCTATTTGCTCCTCCTCTTTTGTCCCTCAGTTTATATTATCACCTGTGATTCAAGTTCTGGGTGACACGCGTATCTGCTGTTTTGTTGTTGCTCTTATCTCTTTTCAACCATCATCCCTTTGATAGCATTAACATTCTGAGATGAGTAGCTTCATCTTCCACAGAATTATCCTTGGACCATAAAATATTTCAGAGCTGAATTCTTTGAAGTAACTGCTCTTTGTCGCTTCCCGTTCACAGTCTGTGGAGATGAGTGCACTGGTCTTCTCCTGGGTGACCTGGCTCGCCTGGAGCAGATGGCCATGAGCATCAACCTCACTGGCCCGCTGCCTGCGCCATATAAAATACTGTATGGTCTTGAAAACATGACTCAGGAGCTAAAGGTAGGTTGGAGCAGTAATAGTAAGGGCCAGGGACAAGGTGGCAGATGCTTCACAAGTTGTATTGGCTGTAATTGGTAAATGTTCTTCCCGCAGCCTCAAATAAGGGACACAACTGTTACGGAAATTCAGAGACTTTACTAACCAATGTTTTTCAAACTCAAGAACTATAATATACAGATTTCTATTAAGGGAAAAGTGTCTCATGTACCCCCCAGTGTCTGGCCTAAATCAGTTTTATTATGTTTCTGAAATATGTGCAAACATAAAATCAGGTATGAACCCTTTGTACTTATAGCTCTATAAAATCAAGACAAATTAATCCTTACAAAACCAATAAAATTCAAATTAAAAACATTAATATAAAGTAACATGAGTTTGGCTGAATGGAAATGCTGCTTGCAACAAGAATAGAATGTTGACTATTTCCACACAGTTCTTCCACCAGAGGTGAACTCAGTTCTCCTACCTTACTACATTTGAACCAGAGAGCCCCCTGCAAAGGGTCCTGAAATGACACATGGGCATCACTTGACAAGTTTATGTGAATTATGTGCTCAGCTTGCCAAAGGGTCAAACACACAAGCAAATATAGTCACTGAGATCAGGTGGCCATATTCATTTCTCAGCTGCCTAGCCTGGCATCCAGAAATACTTACATTAATACCTAAGGTTATCATCAAAATGAAAACACATGATTAGAAACTTGTACTAGAGAACTAATAGAGCCTTAAAAGTTCTTCAACAAGCATTAGTTTGATAAACACTGTTCTAAAATGTGGTTAGAGCTTTTGGTAGTTAATGGTAGAAGAAAACATTAAGGAACTCGGGGTTGTTTCACCTGATGAAAAAGATGAAAGGTGTCAACTTACTTTCAGCCTCTTATCAGATATTTATTGAGAAATTACAGAATGCCTCAGCGTTGCACTTTGTTCCCTGGGGATTTCATGATTCTTTTAGTATCTTCACTATCCTTAGGAACTGTAGATTCCATGTGCTTTAAAAATAATCATTAAACAATAGTCAAGCAATTAGCAAAAATACATAATCACCATGTGTTTTACAAACATTCAAAGTACGCTAGAGTACAAATACTGGAGAAATCAGTAAGGTTCAGAGTAACCAGGGAATGTACCATTACTGAGAGTGTAATTTCTGTTGGAATTTGAAGAGCAGATCCAATTTTAATAGTCAGAGGAGTATTGATTGCTCTAGAGGAAGGCATCTAAGATTTATTCACTAGGCATTGGTAGATACTCTTTCAGGGAATGTATTCTTTAATTCTGACCATAACCTTTAAGGTAGGTATTATTATCCCTATTTTTCAGAAGAAGAAAACAACAATGATGACACCAAGAATAACTAACATTTATTGAAAAGCTAGGCAATTGACTGAAGTCTTACATGGATTACCATACATAGCTTTCACAGAAACTCCAAGAAATAAAAAAGTTATCAGGGTCTGAATATTTATATTTCCCTGAAATTCATGTTGAAGGTCTATCATAGTCCGTTGGAGCTGCTAACTGATTAGCTTATAAACAGTAGAAATGTATTTCTCACAATTCTGAGGCTGGGAAGCCTAAGATCAGGGTACCAGCAGGTTCAACGTCTAGTGAAGGCCTGTTCTTCATAGAGGGAGACTTCTTGCTATGTCCTCACACTTAATACATTTAATATCTGGATACTGAGGGAAAGGATAGCTAGCTCTCTGGGGTCTCCTTAATAAGGGCACCAATCCCAATCAGAAAGCCTACGTTCTCATGACTTAATCACTTCTCAAAGGCTCCACCTCCTGATATCATCACATTGGGACTAGGATTTCAACACATGAATATTGGAAGCACACAAACATTCTGAGCACAGCAAGCCCTGACTCCCAATGTAATGGTATCTGGAGATCTCTCTGCCATGTGAGGACACAGGGAGAAGGCAGCTGTGCTTAACAGAGCCATGTGAGCGGAGGCAGTGGTGTGAATTAGGCCTGTCTGGCAGATATTAAAAGTCAGACCTGCTAGTGAGAGATAACGCCGGAGACTTCAGTAAGGCAGGGTGATATGAAGGACAACCTTGAAAGCCAGGCAGAGGAACCTGAGTTTACCTTGTAGTCTCAGTATTCAGGGATGCAAAGAGTTTTAATAAAAAGAATACTGATCAGTTATTATTTTTTTTGTATATGGAGGGAACACAGAAAAATAAAACTAGAAAAGAAAACATTTTAGTTGAACATAAAACATTTTAAAACCAATACTTAAGCAATGGATGATGAAATAAAGAGCTCCTATAGAAGAGGCTGAACATCATCTAAGCCAACGGATTCAGTGAGCCATCCACTTCTGGCTGGGTACTGATCCAGATGATCTGGATTTTCCTGAAATTCCAGTCTTTCTTAATTCTGTATTTTGTTTTTCTTCCATCATTAATTTGACATTTGTATACTGAGGATCACCTTTTGATATTCTAAAATATTATTTTACCTCTTTGCTCAATTTAACTGTGTCAGTGCTCCCCAAATTCCAGCCAAAGACCATCAAGGACACACATGTGATGGAACAAAGTGGGGATTATTAACTTGTTGCAACAAGGGACATTGAACACCATGGGGAATTGTGGGCTGTCTCAGTAAGAAGGTGTTAGGAATAACTTCTAGCATTTGAGGTTGTACTAGGTAATTTCAGGTAGCACTCAACTGGGTACTATTTGGAAATGGGAGTAATTCTGTGAGTATTCTGTGAATTCTATCTAGAGAGAGGGAGGATAAAGCTATGATTATAAGGAGGCAGTGGTCACTCATATTAGCCAGGAAATGGGGGGTTGGGGTAGTTTTGTGGTTTGCACAAAACCTGCTATGGTTTTGTCTGTGCTTAGACATTAAAGGGTAGTCTCATTTTTGTTTGTTTGTTTGTTTCATTCATCACTGGCTCCACATGATCTTGTCTAATGTTAGCGTCCTATGAGATTTTTTTATATTTCATAGGAAAAAATATGGCCCCACTGTGAGTGCCAGGCCAGTTCCTAGCAACACCGAGGGCAGGCCAGTTAGTTAGTATCAGGCCAGGTCCTTATGTCAAGACCTGCCATTCTCTTTTTTACCTGCTATCTGTGACCTCTGTTAATTGGAATGGGAGCCTTAAATGAGCCAGACGAGGAGTTTATCTTAACTTTACCCCTTACTGACTGTGTGATCTCCTGCACATTTTTAACTCTCTTCAAGCCAGTTTGCTCACTTATGAAATGGAATACACTTAACCCTCATAGAGATGTGAGAATTAGATGAAAAAACAAAACAAAGCCTGGCACATAGTAATTTCTAAATAAATCACTGCAATTTTTATTATTTACCTGAATATTTGGCATGACACCCAATGTGTAAGTGCCCAGTTGAAATAGTTTCCTTCTCTTTTCTTTGAAGGTGAGAAGGCTAAGTTCCCCGTATACACAGAAAAATGTGTTCTGTTAAACACTGGTTACTGCAAGGTCATTTACTAAAATGTGATGGAATTTTTTTCAGCACTTGCTCTCACCTCAGCGAGCCCCAGAGAGGCTTATTCAGCTGGCAGAGGGCAATCTGAATACACTTGTCACCGAAATGAACGAGCTGCTGACCAGGGTAAGTTGGCAAAATTTTGAATCTTCTGAAGGCAGATGGATTATGTAAATTAAGGAAAATTACTTCGAAGCTCTGAAATGCCAGTCGCCTTCTTCTTAATTGCCAATTTGGTATATAAAACAAATGTATTGGGACTTGCTACTTCTGCTTCAAATCAAATAATAGAAATCAGTAGCCCACAGAAAAGTTTGGGATACCTGGAAATTATCAAGAACAATGGCTAAAAAGTCCAGAGTGACAGTGTATTTTGAGAACTTTATTCAGTAGCCTCCATGGTGAAGCTTTTATCTGTTCTGATTTCCAAAAACACTATCCTCAATTATGTAAAGAGAAAGAAAAACAAGTGAAAATACTTGTGGTCTCTTTAATCTCATCGTGGGATTTTTGCATTCGTATAGAAATACAGTGTAAATCAGTTTTACGCAAAAGAGAAAATCGTCTCTATTGTGAGACTCCAAAGCACTGAAGACACTTTTAAAAGTGAGAATGTAAAGTCCATGTTGCATTTATCAGGCTTTTTAAGGAATTGGAAATTTTGAATTTTCAAAACTGCAATGGCATTAAAAACTTTCTGCTGTTAGAGAATGAAGAAATCAACATAAAGCCCGCCATCTTGTGGCCAGAAATATGCATGAAGTGAGAAACTGGGCTGCAAAGTAAGGATCTAATTTGATGATCTAAGAGCTTTAAAAGATAAAGAACATTGGAGCTAGAAGATTCTGGGAGATTATCTAGTCCATTTTGTATTTTAAGGAAGAGCTGCACCAGGCCATGACAGTGAACTGAATTAACAATGACCACACAATTTGCTAAACCCAGGGACTTAAGCAGGACCCAGCCTCAAGATTCCCAGTGGTCTAGTACTTTTCCTACATAGCCTTCTGTTGGTTTAGGAAAATTTCCGCAGGGAAATCAAATAGGCTTCTGAGCACATAATGCCAAACAATGGCCCTGAAGTTACAATAGCACACTAAACACTTTTTCAGAATCTCATAGCAACAATATAGAATGTAGAGATACAACATGGCGTTTCTTGCCAAATATATGCAGACATTAGATTAAATTGAGTGCATTTATCTCATATGAATTTAATATATAAGAATTCATATTTTTATGTGGCTACTAATAAATAAGAATTTTTTAACAGGTCATGGCAGAATAAATCAATTCAACAAGCACACATAAATGTTTATAACATACAAAGCCTAAGTTAAGTGTTGGTAGATGAAAAATATGAGTGAGGCTTATTCTGTCTTCAAAGAACTTTCAGGTGTGTGTGTGTGTGTGTGTGTGTGTGTGTGTACATCAGCATTTAGGTGTATGCAGGACAATAGGTAGGTGTAGGTGTATTAGACAACTGCATGCAAGTATATAATAAAATATGAAATAAAATTGGAAGAAATTCTTGAGAAATTTGTAATAATAGAACAGTTTCATCTGATTGGGGTAATTAGAAAAAAATTCATGTAATAAGTGGCATTTCATTCATGCATTCATTCATTCACTTAACTAATACTTTTTGGGGGTCTCCCATGTTCTAGGGATTATGACAGACACTGGGGATAGAGGTGTGAGCAAAACTGCACAGTTGTTGCCCTCATTGGTTTAGAATTGTCTAATGATCTGACCTTAGAGACACAAGAAGTATTTCTTTAAGAGTGTCAAGTCTTCATTATGTCTCAGCCTACACTCTTTAATCTTTCCAGCAGATTCTCTCACATTACATTTTTTAAACAGACTTTATTTTTCAGAGCAGTTTAAAGTTGAAAGAAAAGTTGTGTGTAATGTTCAGAGAGTTCTCGTATCTACTCCCTGTCCTCATAGCCGTCCCCACTGTCAACCTCCCCCACCAGACTGGTACATTTATTATAATTGGTAAACCTAAGTTGATACCTCCTCATCACCTGAAGTCCATAGTTTACATTAGGGTTTGCTCTTGGTGTTGTACATTCTATGGGTTTGGACAAATGCATTATGACATGTGTCCACCATTGTATTACAGTATAGAAAAGTTTCACTCACTAAAAAATCCTCCATACTTCACCTACTCATACCTCCCTCCTCCTTGACCCCTGGCAACCACTCATATTTTAACTACATTCATAGTTTTGCCTTTTTTGGAATATATAGCTGGAATCATACAGTATGGTGCTTTTTCATATTGGCTTCTTTCCCTTGGTAATGTGCACTTAAGGTTTCCCCATATTTTTTCATGGCTTTCTAGCTCATTTCTTTGTAGTGCTGAATATTATTTCATTGTCCAGACATTTCACAGTTTATTAATTCCCCTACTAAAGGGCATCTGGTTGCTTCCAAATTTTGGCAGTATGAATCAAGTTGCTGTAAACATCTTTGTGCAGACTTTTGTGTGGACATAAGTTTTCAACCTATTTGGGTGAAGCTGAGGGAGCATGATTGCTGAATTGTATGGTAAGAGTGTATTGAGTTTTGAAAGAAATTGCCAAAATGTTTTCCAAATGGTTGTTGCTAGTTTGCATTCCCACTGGCAATAAAGGAGAATTTCTGTTGCTCCACACGTGGCAAGGCTGATCCTGCATGACTGCTGTAGGAGCTGCCCTCTCTTCTTTAAGGACTTTTGTATTTTATATTCCTTTTTTTTTTAGACAGAGTTTTGCTCTTGTTGCCCAGGCTGGAGTGCGATGGTGCGATCTTGGCTCACTGCAACCTCCGCCTCCTGGGTTCAAGCAATTCTCCTGCCTCGTACTGTTGAGTAGCTGGGATTACAGGCATGCACCACCATACCTGGCTAATTTTGTATTTTTAGTTGAGACTGGGTTTCTCCTTGTTGGTCAGACTGGTCTTAAACTCCCAACCTCAGGTGATCCGCCTACCTTGGCCTCCCAAAGTGCTAGGGTTACATGTGTGAGCTACCACGCCTAGCCTATGTTCATTTTTTTTTTTAATGGAGAAATCTAATTCCCTAATATCCCTGGGTAAAGAGGATATTATTCCTCCGAATAACTCACATTTAAAATGTATTTTGATATGTTTTAATTAATATATAAATATAAAGTAAGAAAACACTACATAATCATATATCTCTTTCAATGCATTTTGATTTGTTGCCATTTTCTCTTACTCATCAGAAGAACTCAAGTTCCTCAAGTATGAGAATCATGTTAAACATATTTCGAACTGCCCTACAATATGTGTGGAATATTGAGATGCTTTTTGATGATGACTCTACGTACCTCTATAGCTATTGACCTTAGCTCCTTTCTTTTTTCAGAGCCAAAATTTTTGAAGACTTGGAGACAAGTCTGTATTTATTTCTCACTCCACTGCTGTCTGAATTTTCACTCCCAGCCCACTACTGAAACTGTTTTTTGTAAGATAACCAATGATAATCTGGTAACTAAATCCACCGGATGCTTTATTAATTTTACTTGAAATCTCTGCAGCAATTGCCAGCTTTGATCTTTCCTTTTTTCTTGACATACTCTCCTCTCTCTGTTTTTCTCTTAATTCTCCAACCTTTCATTCTAAGGCTCTTTCTCTCATCATCCCTTCAAAGTTGGTGTTCCTTGGGATCTAGGCCTCAGTCCATGTTTCCTCTCACTCTATAACTCTTTCTTTGGTCTTCAATTGCCATGTATGAGCTGTTAATTCATAAATCTGTATTTTCAAGGCTGACTTCATTCTCCTGCTTTGGCCGTATATGCCTTACTAAGGATCGGACATCTCAAACTAAACTCATCACTTCCTCTTAAAGCCCATAGTTTCTCCTGTTTAGACCATCTCTGTTTTCTCCTCCAGTATATGCCCGGTCTCCCAAAGAGACATTAGCAGGTTGCTCTTCACTCTACTCCCTCTTTCACCTGTCTTCCAATTCAGTTCCCTTCTATGGTGGCTCTTCGTAAGCCTTATCCAGCTCCAACCAGTTATTATCTATATGGCAGATTAAACAATCTAAATTACAAATCTTATCATGCCATTCTCTTCCTTAAATTGTACTATGACTTTCCACTTTGTTCAGGATGACATGCAGTGCTCTCCCACCAGGAACTATTCTCTATTTCTCTCTCATCTTTCCCCACTACTCGTGGTCTGGTCACCGGGGCCCCCACGGACTGAGCATACAAGCCAGAAACCTATGAATCGTTGGTGACTCTTTCTTCCTCGTCATGCTCCTGCTTTTCCAACTCATTACCACACACTGGGCGTCCGCTTCCATGTATAGCGTTCGTCTCCGCTACCCCACTCTCATCCAATCTCATGTTGCATAGTCTGGGATTACCACATTTGTTTTTTAGCTGGTCTCTCTGCTTTTACTGTTGTTGTTCTCCAAATCTGTTCTCTGCAACATCGCCTGAATGAATGTTTGCTATTCCAAATGTGAATATGTGGTCGAAGTGCTTACAAATTCTTCCCCTGACTTCCTTCAGGCTCTTAGGATAAAGACCAAAATTCTCCCCTTGGCCACATCTCCCACCACTTGCGCCCCTGGCCATCTGCACGCCAGCTGTCCTGTCCCCCAGCCACCTTGTCCTACCATAAAGCATTGCCACATATTTATTTTCCCTTAAAGGTAACCTACCTCTCCCTACATTTTGTTAATTTCTATTAACTCCAATTTACCTCTCAAATCTCAGCTCATGAAAGCCCTCTGGGCCATCACAGGGGTGCTGGGATTCCTCCTGTTCTTATCTTACATCACTTTTTTCCTCCAGTTTGTAATTATAAATTTATCTATGTGATCATTTGACACATAACCCTCTAGTCCGCCAGACTATTGACTCCAAATGAGTAAGAAGCCTTTTTGTTTCTTATCAGAGTATCACCAATATTATGCACATAATAGGAGTTGAATCAATATTTGTTTAATTAATTAATTGTGAATAATTTTAATAGCATTTGAACAACAAGATGAAAGGTAGACAAACCCAAAATAAACATTGATTTTGCATACTTTAAAATGCATTAAATCAGGCATATAGTTATAATTAAATTGTTGAATACTTTGTTTTTATTGATAAACA